CAAGACTCCAGGGGTATTTGTGTCTTTTTATATCAAGTCAACCCTCAAATAGTTCCATAGGGGGGTTTTTGCTATTTAAATAATTTCACAGGGGAGGTTTTTGCTAGTTTATTTATCACAGGGGGGTTTTTGCTATTTCGAAATTACACAGGGGTAGTATTTGCAGTTTACTCATATATATATATATAAACATCATATCTTACATAATTCTATATCTTAAAACTCAAATGCGGCCTAAGTTTAATATGCGACGATATATGATAGCTCCATGAGAATTTAGATGCTACACCTGGTTATTTATACTTCTAGATCTCATATCATTCGAAATTTTTGAGCAGTAGAGATCTCCACTTTGAGAAACTCCATTCAAGATTCCTCATTATAAATCATACTCAATCCCACAAATTGAACTAGTTCACAAGGAATTCATCTTAATTTAGTGATTCAGTGTCAGATGAAATATCATCCTCTAAACAAATCTAAGTACTTCAGAGATATTAATTCACGAGTCTCACCTCAAGCGACCTCTTGCCTGAGCTATTTCGTATCATTGTACATAGTCTAACGACCCCGCGCTCCCATCCACAAAGACACGTCGCCTTGTCAAAGAGACAAGTGTCCATCATCGGCGCTCTGCCCCAATGTAACCTATATTTTCATGGCATTTTCTGTCTCAACGGCCTCAGCTAAACGACGCTCACCTGCCTCGACTTTCACCACGCTATTTCTAGCGTCCGTCCATAACTTCCATTTCCGCGTTGTTTTAGTTTGTGTTGTATGGTTGGTAAACAAGGATAAGTGTTTAGGAAAGTACGGAATGCATCATCATATAATCATCTTATACATGAAGAAAAATACTCTTAATAAAAAAAAGACTATATATATGCTAAATTATAATATAATTATCTTTATCTTTGACTATTATTGATTATTCCTTCTATTCCACAATAACTGTATCTTTTTAAAATTATTTTTGTTCCATATTATCTGTCACTTTACATTTCCAATACTGCATTAATTGCATAATTATCAATTTTACCCTTATTAACTATTTCCAGAACTCTCATATATTTTTCTAAAATTAAGCAACATTTATTGAGATCATTAATCCTTGTGCACAAGCTAAAAACGACAATTATAAAGAAACGGAGGGAGTATAATGTAATTTATTATAAATTTACTTTAAGTTCATAAATAATGTAGTATTTGCGATAAACTAAAAGACATGGTAAAACTAGGCTACAAACAATGAAACAAACCTGTTTTGTTTTTTTCTTTAAGACAAGGAAAGAAAGACAAAAAAAGAAAAGAATTAGAGTAATTTAGCAATTAATATATCAAAATTGATTGTAGTGTGACAGAGTGTGGAGCTCCAATTCTTAAGAAATAGATACATGCGAAGGAATGACCTAGCGGTTGGAGCAGGTGAACTCGCGTCAATTGATTCAAGTTCGAATTCTCTTGCTAATAACGGTCGCTAGGTGAGTTTGCCTAGCTCATATGGTTAGCCTAGTGATAGTGTGGTTTACGTGTCTCGTATGGTTTGCAAGTCATTATACAAGAATGTAGGTTTATCCAATGCACCTACATGGTTGACTGCAGACTCCTTAATTACTTAAAAACAATGAGGGTCCGATTTTGTTTCGTTAATAGAGCATTTGTTCCAAATACTCTCCTATACGGAAAATGTGAGAAAATCCCTATGATAATATTTCAATAAAAACGATAATTGCATGTTTAAATTAAATAACTAGAATCTTGCTTATTCTATCAACGAAATACAATGCTACACAAACCAATGACCTAACCATCTTAACATCTCATGTCTTCTTATACATGTGTGCTATTAGTGAAATGAGTATTGCATAGTATTAATTAAGCTCACAAATTTCTTTAGTAAGATGGTATTTGCAAAAATTTTTACAGACAACTTTTGAGTTTTTTGGCTTACAATCTATTTTTAAATGTTTGCAAAATCAACTTTTATTTTATTTTATATGTTTTAAGCAATTTTTCTAGAATCACCTATAGACCTTCTTTTTCTATATAAGTTGATTTTTCAGCACATTTGCAATTAACCCCAACTAGGATATAAATAAGCTGAGAGCCGTACACCACAAAAGCTCGAACTCGAGTTTTTCGACCTCAAGCATCTTGATGATCCCAGCCAGAGCCCGAGCTTATTCTTAGTTGTCCGTAAGCTCGCGAGCCGACTCGAGCTTTTTTTTATTTAATTTTAATTTATTTTTTATTTTTATTACAAAAATACTTAATGTAAAATCAATAAATTACATATTTTTAATTTCCAATTTCTTTATTATAATTTATAATAATAAAAACCTAATAATATTAATAAAAATATACAAAATGGCTCCGATACGAGCTCGAACTCAAAATGCCAGGCTCAAAAAGTTCGAGCTCGTCAAATTGGACTCGAACCCGAACTCGCCAAATTGGACTCGTACTCGAGCTTGCCGAAATGGTCTGACTCGATTGGAGCTCGACTCATTTACACATCTACATTCAACTTTTAAAAATAAACACTTAGTACATAATTCATAATTATTAACTTGTGCTTCTTAATAAACTTTCGCAACCATATATAGTTGATTACCCAAAACACCTATCAGCACTATTTTGTAACCTTGTTCTGAGACAAGCACATGATTGGTTGGAGAAGCGGTTTTCGCTGAGAGCTTGACACGTTTCATGCAATGAATTATGTGATGAGTGAGAAAATATGGGGTTTTCTTTCTCTCACTAGATTTATTATCTCTGCCCCAAAAAAATTAATATGTTAGTGGAAATTTTGTCGTGGTCTAATTTCTGATTCAATCGAAGTTTGGGCCAGAGTTTCTGTCGTGTATTTGAATAATGGGGTTTCCAAGTGACTGGCCCATTATATGTGTGCCACGTCAGCAGATAATACGTATTCCTCGTGGGTTTCACGTGTGGCTTCGGCCACGTGGTCAATCATTAATATTATTTTATTTATTTGGTATTAAATTCCGAAGTATTATATATGTATTTACAGAAATACATAAATATCATGAATTTATGAAATTTGACCAGTCTGAAAAAAAAAAACATTTCAATGTAATACTTTAGAACAAAATTAAATAGTTCATTAAAAAATATTATATGTTTAAAAAAAAGAAAAAATCAAAATTTCTACCACATGTAAACTTATAAAATTCCACCTTTAGTATTGATTTTAATTACTTAGGTAAAATTTGATCCATGTCACGCATTAAGTTTACTATATTTCTATTTTCATGTCATTATTTAACTTTGAAGGTTTGACTCAGTGTTTTGAAATCGGACCGGGTTGAATCGGTTAAACCGCGATCCATTGCCTTGTTCGGTCCGTTGTGATCGTTTGAACCGTAGTATCATAATCGAAGTGAAAATGGGGTCATTTTTTCCCAAAATTGTGTTTAAAAAAAATTAAACAAATAAAATGGCAAAAAAAGACGTTTCTTTTTTACCGTTCAGTTGCAAAAAAAAAAAATTAAATCAAATAAAATGGCAAAAAAATACATTTTTTTTTAGCGACTGCGCACTCCCACCGATGCAAATCCTCGGGAGTGTTCGTTACGGGTGTAAACGAGCCGAGCTTGGCTGTTTTGGCGAGCTCGAGCTCAAGCCCGCATCTATTTTAACGAGCTCTTCGAGCATTGTTTTTCTAAGCTCGACCTCGAGCTCGAGCCAGAGCCATTTTGTATATATTTTTTATATGTTTTGTTTTATTGTTTATTAATATCATTAGAAATTGATTATTACAAATTATAATAAAAAAATTCAAAAAAAATGACTTGTAGTTTATTTTTTAAATTATTTATTATATTAATTATATTTATAAAAAAATTCACTAATCGGCTCGCGAGCTCGCGAAAAACTAAAATTGAGCTCGGGCTCGATTCATCAAAAAG